GGCCACAACATTAGTAACAAAGAAACAGAATTTCCGGAGGATGAGGCCCAGAAATCAGGATTTTTAAAAAGATTCCCAGCTGATTCTAATGTGCGGCCAAGGTTGAGAACCACTGGGTTAAAGAATGCAGCCCTGCTGTGGACAGGGACACCTGTAAGATATAAATCTGTGTCATTTAAGTCAATGTTTATGTTAACCTAATTAACATATATGCGATAATGCACTGCTACTTAAATTTGAGTATTTGCCAAGAAAACAGTTAGTTTTTCTCACATAATTATGACTTAGTCATCAGTAAGATGCCTTAGCTAATAAAAACTTGTAGGAATAAGGTGATTACTAGCTGGGTACTGAGTCATAGCTCAAAATGCCTTTGCCCAAATTACCAAACCCACACCTTTGGGATTGCCAGATGAGGTCTGTAATGCACTATTACACATAATTCAACGTGGCTAAGCTCATTAAATATGAGACTCAAGTGCAGGAATAAGATAGTCTATTCCTTCATAGAAAAGAACAGGATGATGCACTAAATGGATGTCTACTGTGTTCCAAGTATTAGGAGATTTATAAACATCATATTTAATACTAAGTTAAGTTGTTATATTTCATAGGCACTAAGTTTTAAAGCCTGGATTCCAACCGAGGCACTCTGCTTCTGGAGCTTGTGTACTTATCCACTCCCTCATCCTTCTCCATTGTACATCCCCTGATGTGGTGAGCTGTCTATACTGCAGTGGTCAGAAGGCAACTTGGTTTTAACAGAAGGGGCCTTCCACAGTGAATGACAGATAGGCATTCTGAAGAGTTCAGAAATAGATCAACTATAAAATGAGAAAAACAAAAACCTTTAAGAGTAAGGAAAATTTCATATCAAAGTAATTAAAGAGTCTTTCTACATTTTTAGCTTGTAATAACAAGGAAATACAAGTAATGATTTGCTCAGGCAAATTATTCGATTATTCATGCCATTTCCAAGTTTGCTGAAACTGTCCTTAACATAAGCAATTATTTCAGTTTCATAGATCAGTAGCTTGATGCTAAAAGACAATTATTTGTAATGTGTGCGTTATTTTTAAATTCGGATGAGTAGAGACAAAGATGAGTAAACATCACATTTATTGAACAGAAATGAAAACATCAAACATGGAAAATTCAAAAGTCATTAAATATTTCTTTTTGTCCAGCAATAAAGTGCTCTAGGTGAAGAGGAAATGGTCCGTGTTCATTATTGGAAAAATGAAGGCCATTCATACAAAAGTTATGGCCCTGATTTTAAAATCTTCATTCCTTATATCCAAATTAATTTTGAAATAAACAACAGCTCATCATTTCAATTCTAATGACCTATAGGAAACTCAATTATTTATGTCATCTGAAAGTAAAGTAGCAAACTTATATAATAACAGGTTAAGTAATGTTCATGGGAACATACTTTTTAATAATTAAAAATTATTTTTAAAAACCTTGTGTTAATTAATAGAGGAATACATGAGTAAAATTAAAATATGGCGTAGTCATACATTGGAATAATACAGTAATTAAAATCTTGAGCTACAGATACATGTCTCCATATGGATAAATCTTAAAATATGAAATTTAAAAAAAGTTAGAGAAAGGTTCATACAGTGACATATCACTTACACAAATTAAAACAGGTAAAATAAAATTCTATTATATATATGATATATATATATCATATATATATGATATATATATGATATATGAGAAAGTTCATGTATAAAACACTAGACTTTGAAACACACCAAATTTACTAGGTTATTTGTCACAATGAAAGGGAGGAAAATCCAAAGGAAATGTTTTATTTATTTTTATTAAATAATAACTGGAGCAAATATAATAAAGTATTAAACGAACTACTTAAATATTTTGGGCAAAATGTATTTGAAATAAATCATTCAGAAACTATTTCAATTTATCATAATAACCAAATAATTCACTCTCTCAAAATTTATGATGATCATATAGTCTTACTAAAAATAAATTCAGTATAAACCTCTCTGAAGATTCCAAGATGACAAGACTATATTGGATATTCTACAAATTTGATTCAGGAAATAAAACCAAGTTTTAAGCTCGTGAGAGCTTGAAATTTCCAGTTTTATTTCACATATTCTTATGTGCTCTAAGAAAGTGCAATTTTGTCTCCTGAAAGAGAATGTCCCTCAGGAGTCAATTGTGGCACTTCCCTGTGAGCATCCTGGTGTAGGTTCATAAATCACCTGTGCCATTTGGAATCTAACAATTTTGCAGCTGGACTGTATAGACTTGGGTAGACGAAACAAACAGAAAATACTTAAGCACAAAAAGATCCAGAATATGAAAACCCAGTTACTAAAATCACATAGCCATATGTAATTTGCTAGAAACTTAGCCAGGAGCCAGCGTGTTTTTAACGGCATCCCAGATAAAAGTGAATGTTCAGTCATTGAGCCTAACCACTCTTCTGAAACACGGCAAGACAAGTTGAAAGCAAATGCTGGGACTCTAAATCTCAGTAATCAAGGAAATGGGGATATGGTGACTCCTCTCAATCACTAGATTACTACTCCTCCCCTCCTCCTAATCTGTTCTTTCTGTAACTTTAGTGATTTTTTTTAAAGTACAACTCTGGCCAAGTCACTCCTTTGCTTAAAACTCTTCATTATGCTAAGTGAAATAAGCCAGCCAGAGAAAGACAAGCACCATATGATTTCACTCATATGTGGAATCTAATGGACAATATAACTACCAAGCAAAATAGAGACAGACTCATAGATAGAGAGCAGGCAGACAGCTCTGGTGTGTCTGTGGGGGAGGGGGAGGAGTGGAGGGGAAAGGGCATTGGGAGGGTGTGGAGGGATTGAGCAAAAAAGAAAAAAAGAAAAGTCATGGACATGGTCAACAGTGTGGTGAATGCAGGGTGGAAGTGGAGGAGGGCATAGTGCGGATAAATAGTGATGGAAAAAAAATAAAAGAAGTAAATAAGTAAATAAATAAAAAGTCACTTTGGAGCAAAAAAAAAAACTAAAAAAACACACAAAAACTCTCCAATGTCCTTTGCTGCTCTTAGGGTTAGGTTGAAACCCCTTAAGTTGACTTACCAGCTTTATCTCTTCCTCCTCATTTTAGTCCACCCCTTCTCGTACTTTAATATTCTAATCAGGGTTTCTTGACCTCCTTCCCATTCTATTTAATTAATTGTTTACTTGGGCACATCCAACATTTAGTCCGTGGTCTCCTTCTCAAGGGCAGAGATCAAACTTATGAGGTTCATTATTTTTTTTAAAAATATATTTTATTGATTTTTTAGAGAGAGGAAAGGAGAGCGAAACATCGATCAGCTGCCTCCTGCACATCTCCTACTGGGGATGTGCCCACAACCCAGGTACATGCCCTTGATCGGAATCGAACCTGGGACCTTTTAGTCTGCAGGATGACGCTCTATCCACTGAGCCAAACCAGTTTCTTTATGTTCATATTCAAAAGTGCCTATCGTAGTGCTTGGAATATAGTAGGTACTCAACAAGCATTTGTTGAAAAAAGAAAAGGAGGAAGGAACACAGGGAAGAGCAAGGAAAAGGTTTGAGGACAGACTAAATGTAAAAATTGGTTTATAAAGCATTAGGAAGAATTACATGATTTGGTGCCAGTCAGAGAAGCTATCTCTACATGGCATCTCAATGTGTCTATCTTTGTTTCCATTGTTGTTGTTTTTAAATTATAATCAAATTTTTGTTACCTATATATTTAGATTTTCTGCTTGAGGGTTTTTTGTTTGTTTTTTGTAGCCATGTTCATATGGGCAGTGGCCACGACTGTTTGGCTCATTATTATACACCCAGAATTTACCAATGTTTAGCACTCTATACATATTTACTGAACTAATGAATGAATGCATTAATAAGATGGACTTCTCTAGAATAACAAAATAGTATGACTATCTCATACTATTATCAATGATCACCCTGGCCTGTGTGGTTCAGTTGGTTGGGCTTCATCCAAAATTGCAGGTTTGATCACCGTTCAGGGCACATGTCCGGGTTATGGGCTTGATCCTAGTAGGTGGGGTGGCAGGAGGCAACTAATCCATGTTTCTCTCTCTCCTTCTCCCTACCTCTCTCTCAAAAAAATCAATAAAAAAAATCTTTTTTAAAAAAGGCAATGACCACTATTTCTACTTTACAGTTTTACAATAATTTCTAAGTTACCCAAATCATGGGACTATTTGAACAGCTTGCACACAATGCCTATCAGAAAGCAAAAGTCTACAGGGATGAGATAGTCATACTATTTTGTTATTCTAGAGAAGTCCATCTTATTAATGCATTCATTCATTAGTTCAGTAAATATTTATAGAGTGCTAAACATTGGTAAATTCTGGGTGTATAATAATGAGCCAAACAGACGTGGCCACTGCCCATATGAACTTAATATCTACTGGGTGAGATGACATCTACCAGGCACAAAATAAGGATGAATTCAGCTGTCAAAAAGTGTAGAATTGTGAAATAAGACCTTTATGAGAAATGGATTTTAAAGTTTTACTCTGTACCCAGTATATATATCACTGGAGAGAGTCCTTATTTATGTTCATATTAAAAAAAAACAAACAGACAAACCACCTTCTCTATCATATTCCTTTAATTTTCATAACATTGAGGAACATTTTGAAAATATTAGAGTTTCTAGTGTAACCTTAACCTTTAACCTTAACCCTTAACCTTTGCTCTCATATATTTTAAGCAGGTATACCTCAGGAGAACAGAGACTGTGGGAAATGACAAATGTATTTACCTCTCAGTCAAGTGAGGCTTCCCATGAACTCTCTCAGGTGGGAAGAAAAGTTTGTGTCACAGTTGCTACCTTTCAGACTGGGCAGATAGACTGATATTATCTTAGGTAATGACAGAATCAAGAAAATGAACAGGGTCTTACAAATGATAGGATGTTAGCCCAAGGCAGTGTCAAAGACCAGGGGACGGAACCAGAACACTTACTGGTAAGTGGTGGGGCTGACATTGATGCGCCGAGGGTGGCTTCCCGATTCGAATTTGCTTGCCAGAGTGACGTTATTTCCAAACAGGCAATATCGTGGCATTCTTACCCCAACAACTCCAGCCAGCACAGAGCCTGAATGAATGCCTATCCTCATCTAAAAAAAAAAGAAAAAGGATATATTATGGTTTCATTTGGTATGCAATTATTTTAATGAGAAGTACTGCTAATTATGCGCTCAAACAATGAACTCCTCAAAGGCCTTGGTTGGTATTGTGAGCCCAATATCTGGATAAACATGGATGCTGTGAAATAAATGAATAAGTGGACTTATTAAAACTACGTTTAATTTGCTATGTAAATCTAGTTGTGTTACAAGTTAAATCAGGTTTCATTTGTACATTAAATGCTCTAAACATGAAAAATGTATTATTCTCCTTCTAGTTATTTACTCTCACATAAAACCACATTTCCCCTCTATAGCCTTAAACACAATTATAAATTAAATATTTATATTTCTGTTTATTATATTTCAATGTTGGATTTTTTCCCGTGAGAGAAGAATCCATATGTATTTCCATATTGCTGAATATTCAACACTTAGTTCTGTACCAAGAGCAAAGTAGACACTCAATAGTAAGTGATGAAAGTTGACTAAATTGCCTAAATTCCCCAACACGGTATTAAAATGGAGTTATACAGCATTCAACCCTGGTGTCTGTCCATAAGAGTCGTTTGAAACCCTGAAGAGTAAAATAAGTGTTGTATATTTTATTCTCTGAGAATCTGATAAATATTAGTCTGGTCCACACCTTGAAGGAGCCCTCAATAGGCACTTAATTTACACTTAAATAAGGTTTCAGTAATGAAGTTGTAGACCCATGATCTACCCCCAATAACCAAAGCTAATGGTGACCACGTGGAAAATGCTACCCTTATTGCTAGGGGAGTGTAATTCTGGGAAATGAGGAGGAGATCTGGTCCCTAGATGTCCACTAGGTGGGCCGTGTCAGCTTTTTGATACCATGTGTGCTACTGCTGCTATAGTTGTGAGAATAAAATGCTACTCTTAGACTAACCCTGCTCATCAGACTGGAGACTTCTGCATGTATCAATCCACAATAAGACAGGTTAACACCAATGTGATCTAGCTGAGGTCCTAATAACCTCGTCATCTACTCTTTAAAAAATGATTCTAGCCAAAACCAGTTTGGCTCAGTGGATAGAGTATCGGCCTGCGGACTGAAAGGTCCCAGGTTTGATTCCGGTCAAGGGCATGTACCTGGGTTGCGGGCACATCCCCACTGGGAGATGTGCAGGAGGCGGCTGATCGATGTTTCTCTCTCATCGATGTTTCTAACTCTCTCTAGCTCTCCCTTCCTCTCTGTGAAAAATCAATAAAATATATTTTAAAAAAATGATTCTAAAATTTATTTAGAAATTCAATATATTAGGAGGAACCAAGATATACTTAAGAAGAAAAAGTTGAAATATTTGCCTTATGAGACATCAAGTCTTTGTATAAACATTTAATTAGTACACAGATGTTATGATATTGATGCACAGAGACATAGACTAATAAAACAAATAGCACCCCCCAACTTCAATGCATATATAGGTGATTGATATATGATATAGTTGGCATTTCAAATTAGTTAGAAAAAATATGACATTTCCATTAGGATATTCTGTATCAACTGTGTCTTCGTGTAGAAAAATAACCTGAGTACAATAAAGATCTTAATGTAAAAGGTACCATATAACAGCTTTAAAAACAACTATTTCAATTATAAATAAGTGTTGTATATTTTATTCTCTGAGAATCTGATAAACATTAGTCTGGTCTATGCCTTGAAGGAGTTCTCAAGGTGCAGTTAATATACACTTAAATAAGGTTTCAGTAATGACGTTGTATACCCTTGATCTATATCAAAATAACCAAATCTGCAGTATCAGTTAAAACCTAAAATATAGACACCAAAAACTATAGACTTTTATTAGTCTCTTAGTAACTTCATTACCGAAAACATATTTAAGGTGAGTGGTCCAGATTGCCAGGCAGCTAGCTCTGTTCCCCTTAGTCAGTCAGGTAGCAAGTTCTTATCACTGTGTTCCTCTTCATATTTTGTCATATATAGGGTGTCCCCTCAAAAGGTATACACAATTCCATATCTGATAACTCACTTAATTTTCACACCTTTTCAGGTTTAATTGGTTTGAAATAATGGGTGAAGCCAGACTAAAATTTATCCTATAGTACCACTAGATTTTGTTTTTATGGGGACACAAAAAAGATAAAGTTTATGGTACAAAACTGGCAATAGTTGACAAATTAGGGGCACAATAATATCACAGGAAATGATTCTTGATGTTTGTGATTCTATAGTTTTGTATTATCAAAGGTGCCTGAACCAGAATGGTCATCAGTTTGAAACAGGCATTGACAAAAACAATTATTAATTTCTGTAGATCTTTCAAATTTTGAAAATGAACAATGTTAATAAACACTGAATTTATAATCATCCATGTGTATACATTTTGGGGGACACCCCTGTTTATATTTTTTAGAAAACTTGAAGCTGGGTCAGGAGCATCCTCATGTTCCAACTCATGATGTGGTAAGATAGATAACAGAAGTCCAGGGTGTGAGTATTGAAGTTACCCTTTAAAGCAGCGGTTCTCAACCTGTGGGCCGTGACCCCTTTGGCGGTCGAACAACCCTTTCACAGGGGTCGCCTAAGACCATCCTGCATATCAGATATTTACATTATGATTCATAACAGTAGCAACATTACACTTATGAAGTAGCAACGAAAATAATTTTATGGTTGGGTCACAACATGAGGAACTGTATTTACAGGGCCAGAAGGTTGAAAACCACTGCTTAAAGTAATCTTCATTCTTTTGTTTAGATCCATATTTGCATCTAGTATAATATTTCTTCTGCCTAAAAGACTTCCTCTAACTTTTTTTTTTTAGCTGTAAGTCTACTAGCAATGAATTCTTTCAGTTTTTATATGTTTGAAAAAAATTTTATTTTGCTTTCATATCTGAAAGATATTTTCACTGGGTATAGAATTCTAGGTTAATATTTTTTCCTGGTACTTTAGCGATGGTGCTCTACTGTCTCCTTCTTTGCATTGTTTCTTATGAAAAATCTGATGGCATTCTTATCTTAATTCCTCCATATGTAATATACATATCATTCTCAACTTATGATGGCTCTACTTAAAATTTTTGGACTTTAAGATGGTGCAAAGTAATACACATCCAGTAGAAACTGTACTTCAAAATTTGAATTTTTTTCTTTTCCTAGGCCAATAATATGTGGTATGATATTCTTTCATGATGCTGGGCAGTAGCAGCAAGCTGCAGCTCTTAGTCAGGCACATGGTCACATGGAAAACAACTGATACTCTACAGTATACTTGCCAGCATCTTTTGTATATTGTGGTCTAGGCATGTTTCAATAGGCAAGGCTAAGGATGATGTTCGGTAGGTTAGGTGTATGAAATGGATTTTCAACTTATAATATTTTAACTTATGAAGTACTTACTGGTATGTAATTCCATCATGAGTCAAGGAGCATTTTTATATCGTTTTCTTCTGGCTGCTTTAAATTTTTCTGTTTTTATCTAGTTTTGAAAAACTTTAGTTATGATTTCTTTGATGCTGTTTTCTTAATGTTTCTTGTGTTTGGGATTTGTTCAGTCTTTCAGATCTGTAGGTTTTATAATTTTCACCAAATTTGAGAAAAAAAATCCACCATTATTTCTTCAAATATATTATCTATCCACTCTGCCTTCTCAGAGAAACTAATGACATATTTAGTAGGATGCCTAAAATATTTCCACAATTTACTGATAATCTGTTCATTTAAAATGTTTTTTTTTCTCTCTCTCTGTTTATTTTGGATAATTTCTGCTGCAATGTCTTCAAATTTACTAATATTTTCTTTTGTAATGTGTAATCTTTCTTAATCACATCCAGTATCTTTTTCATCTCAATCATTGTGATTTTCTTCTCTAAAAGTTCCATTTGGGATTTCTTTTTATCTGTAAGATGCCAAAATAACTTTTCAACATATGGAATACAGTTTAAATAACTTTTTAATATTTTCTTATCTGCTAATTCTAATATTTTTTTATTTATGTACCAGTTTTGATTAATTGATTTTTCTGATCATTATGGAACATATTTTCCAGCTTTTTTCCATGTCTTGTAATTTTTAGTTGGGCGTTAGATATCATGAATTGATTTTGCTGGGTGTCAAATATTTTTATAGTCTTATAAATATTCTTGAGCTTTGTCCTAAGATACAGTCAGGTTACTTGGAAACAGTTTGTTCCTTTCAAGTCTTGCTTTTTAAGAATTGTTAGATTAATCTTGAGCAATATTCCATGTACAGCTAGTTATTCCCCACTACTGACATAAGAACTGTCTACTCCAGGCCCATGATATGTGTGGGTTTCCAGTCTTCCAGATGGGCACAGGCATTTTTTTCTAAGTTCTGTGTGAGTGCCATGAACTTTTTCCTTTAATTCTTTTAGGCTTTTCCTTCACGGGGCTCAGTGATTTTCTCACATACAAACAGTAATCAGTACTATGCAGAACATACAGGAGGCCTCTGAGAAGATACCTGGTAACCTTTGTGCAACAAATTCCTCGCTGGTAACTGGGTGTGACCTCTAGCCTCCTTGGTCTCACCACACTCTTTGCTCCATTTTTTCAACTCAGGGAGATTGTTGGGTACTTTTTGATTTGCTCCACCCTGTTCCACAGTATAGATATCTCCCAAGGCAATACGCCAGGGAAATCACATCTCATCTAATTTTTTCCTATCTCTGTCTTCCATTGCCTAGTGTCCAGTATCATGAAAACTGTTGTTTCTTTGTATATTTTGCCCAGATTTTTAATTGTTTAAGGTGGGAGTATAAATCCAGTCCCTATTACTCTATTGACTAGAAGCAGAAATGAGACACATTTCTCTTTTTAAAGAAAGTAAGCTATCTGAAAAATTCAGGCCTATTTCTCATGAGAGATTGTCATTTTGAATTTAAAGGTAAACACAATGCTGAATAGTATTGTTAATTTTAAGCAAGATATGTGTAAAGCACTTTTTTTCTAAAATTAGCAAAGCATTTTGCAATATTATTA